TATATTCATGACATCTTTGACAATCTATGTTTTTCACCACTCATTCCAACATTTTCTTAAAATGATTAATAAGCTGGTACATTTTCTGGATGAAACAGAAGATAGGATGGAGGAGGAGTAAGGAGGCAAGGAGAGGGGAAGGAATGAAGGAAGGAGAGAGAAAAGAGAAAAGAAAAAAAAGAAAATGAAAGAAAAGTTCAGAATAAAGGAGGGGAGGGGAGTGGAGGGGAGGGGAGGGTGGGGAGGGGAAGGGAAGTGAAGGGAAGAAGGAAGGAAGGAAGGAAGGAAGGAAGGAAGGAAGGAAGGAAGGAAGGAAGGAGAGCAAACGTAAATAAAGGCATAATTAGTTATGTGAAGGCACTGACTAGACTATTTAACAAGGTTAGGACTAGAGTCACCAGTTCACCCTGGTTTTCCCATACTGCCCAGTTATACTACTGGAAGTCCAACATCCTGTGAAAGCAATTCAATCCTAGGTAAATCAGGAGTACTGGTCAACAAGGACATATATTGACTGATGATTGCTTGGTCCCAGAGTACTGCTGCTGCTTCTACCCATCTGCTTTGGTTCTGCCTTGCCATATGCAAGAGATGATGCTAGACATCCTCTACCCAAGGGTTGAACTGGGATACAAGTTGCGTAGGGTGCTACAGGAGACAGATATGCCTGTGGGAGTCTTGAATCAGGCTTTTGTAGGGAAACAGACCTGGGCTCAGGCATCTACTAAACTTGTCCCTGTGGACACATCAGCATCATGCTCCTAACCTCAGGGATACGCCCAATCCATATACAACCTAAGGACCAAAGCTGGGGAGGGACTGCTGCTTTGACCCTAACTACTGGGAACTAGATCACATGATGTGATGGTCACTGAAGTGAGAATGATGCTGCTGTTGTGACCACCTTCCTTTCATCTGAAAATGTTTCTATGAGTTGTTCTCAAATAGGAAACACATTAAACACTTATTTTGTAACGATTCCTAGCATTTAGGAAACAACTTCCTTGTTTGTAATTCCCCCAGTGACTATGGAAAATAATGTAAATACTAACAAGGAAAGTCCTGCCCATCGGTCTAAATGTTAGGGGTCCTGTGCATAGACACTCCAGAACAGAACAGAAGAGGGCACTGGAATCTAAGGGTATCATCTCTGAAAAGGACCTGCCCACGCACCACCCCCATGACACCATGACCCAATCATGCTGCTCCTCTTATTGCCAGCCTACTTGCTGCAAGACCACCTGCTGTGGGTCCAAGTGCTACCAGCCCGATTGCTTTGGGTCCAGCAGCTGTGGACAAATCTGCAGTGGGTCCAGTTACTGCCAGCCTTGCTGCCGCCCAACTTGCTGTCACACCACTTGCTGCCAGCCCAGCTGCTGTGGGTCCAGCGGCTGTGGACAAATGTGCTGTGGGTCCAGCTACTGCCAGCCAGTTTGCTGTATACCCGTTTACTGCATGAGAACCTGCTACCACCTCACCTGCTGCTCCCTGCCTGGGTGCCTCGCCTAGGCTGTGGATCCAGCTGCTGCCAGCCTTCCTGCTGCTGATTGGCTCACCAAGCCCACCTCTGCACACAATACTGATTTTCCATTTGGCTAAAAAAAAAAAAAAAAAAAAGTCACTTGCAAACATTACTGAAAGTCACCATGCAATCTACAATATCTCTGTTATTGATCTGCCTTTTTTACTAGCTTGTGAATTAGCTTGATGAAGTGTGTACCACTTCTCCCTTATTCTCTTCTTCCTTCCTCTTTAGGGTCATGTTGCCTGATAGTCATGATCTCTGCTTTGAGTTCATGGTCAAGATCTACATCCTGTCCCTCTAAGTACCTTAAAGAAACAAATCCTCATAACTGACATATTGGTTTTTGCACTTACGGAAAGTTCACACTAATATGTTTTCTTTCTCAGTGTACTCCTGGTTCTTGTACACTGCTTTCTTCCAGTCACGATTCCTTTGAATGTCTCCCTAAATGTACGGAGTCTTACATATATCTCTCAATAAATCCTATACAATTCAGTGTCTCATACTGTCTTCATTTTTTAAACATATATTTATTTTGAGAGAGAGTCAGAGAGAGAGAGAGAATCACAAGCAATCTCCACACTAAGCATGCTGAACATTGGGCTTACTCCCATGATTGTGAGATCATGACCTGGGCCAAAATCAAGAGTCAGATGCTCAACCTACTGAGCCATCAGCATGTCCCTTGTCTTTGTTTTTTGTAGTGTTCACAATGTAAGTTGGGACCTATATACATAGGTTGCATATCATATGCAAGGTCTATTTGGAGCCTCATATATTCCTCCACAAATTATTATCTTGATTTTCTGATGAATAAACTTCACAGTGAAATGTCACAAGCTGACATAGACAGACTGAGATATTAAACTGTGTCTCCTGTCGTTGCTGATGCATACTTACATTCACATCTCTAGGCAAGTTAGAAAACACCCTGGGACTGAGCAGCAGCAAGACATTCATTTGAGTGTCTTCTTTGACCATGGAAATATTATTCCTCTGTAAATGCAGGTGACATCTGGGGATAAGTTGTAGACATAATCATCTGACAACTCAGCCTTCAGTAGTCACGTGTGAAGGTAGTAGGACCAGCCTTTTAGAGCTCCTTTAAACACAGGGGCCTTTTTTTCTCCTCAGCAGTCCATAATGTCAGTGCTCCTCTGCATCAGGTACAGGTGAGCATGTGGTATTGATGCAAGAAAGAGACACAGCTGAACACACATGTGTTTGGGTCACTGAAAATCACATTCTTGTACAGCTTCCTGGTCCTCAGGACATAATGTCAGAGTACAAAGGTATGAGGTAATTTTCTGTCCCAATTTAAGACAACTTATCATCATGAACAAAATGTTACCAAGGCAAATTAAGGAAGGATGGTGTCAGGGACTGAGTGACCATGCAATGTGCATGTATGACTTGACATAAACCATCTACAGAAAAAAACAACCTACAGAATTAGGGAAGTAACTTTGAGGCCTTTGAGGGAAATACATATGCCTGTTGCAGGGGGGTGAGAAGAATGTGAGGAAGAAGAAAGAGGCAACAACGTGGGCATTCATAGGAATCATGACGGATAGAAAGGTGGTACTTCTGGTCCTGAACGAGTAATGCTGCCTTGTCACTCAGTGATGTGCACCTTGATTCAGGCTCTAATCAGAATTTGGAGATTTAGACCCCGGGTCACTTCCTGGGAGCAGAGGAATGAATCCTGATGAGCTACACAGGCTAAGTCCAGGACATATGCCAACATTGGAGACTTGGTATCCTGAGTATTCTGGAGAGACTTCCAAGGCCAAACTTGTCTACTGCTGGTTCTGAAGAGCTTGATGTTTGCATAACGAGATGAAAATATGACACGATCTAGGTTTCCCAATATTTGCTGGATGGTGACTAAAAACTTCATGAAAATTATCTTTAGTACTTGGAAGAATTTTCAGAGTAGGTATTAAGGTTCACGTTATAGTGGTGAGGAAATGAGACTGAGCAGGGTAAGGTCATGTCAGAGTTTGGTTTCTTCCAGGAGCTCCTCTGAAGAAAGAGTCCAGGAAGGCAGTTTCTTCAGGGAGGTGACATCACACTGGTCAGAGAGTAGGGGAATGTCACTGGGAAGAGGCACTTTGAGGCCAGTCACACAGTTTAAAACTAAAGCTTTAACCTGAAAGATCTCAGAAATGATATCACACACACACACACACACACACACACACACACACACACACAATTGAGAGTCTCCTATTTCAGCAATGAGGGAGAATTGGGAGTCTTTATAAACCAACTCTCCAAAGCAAGGGTTGAGTGCTGCCTCTCAGTGTGGCATGCTCAGGTAGCCTGACATTCTGCTGTGCATTGAAAGAGCACTTAGGATTAGAGGTGCAGAACTGATAGGGAGAGAAATTGTCCCAAACACACTAATAGCCAAGACATAGAACTGGTGTATTCAAGTCATCTTTGGCAATCTACGGTTTTCACCATTCATTGCACTGTTTTGTAAATTGTATTGGTGGATGGACAAAATAATTGGAAGAAACAGAAGAAGACTGTGGAAAATGCAGGTGGGGGAATGAAAAGGAGTAAAAAGAAAAGGAGAAGGGATGGAGGAAGGAAGGAAGGATAGAGGGAAGTTGAGAAGGAGGAAGAAAAGGAGGGACAGAATGGGGGAGGAAGGGAAGAGAAGAAGGAAAATGAAGAATGAAGGGAAGGAAGGAAGGAAAGAAGGACGAGGGAGGAAGGAATGGACAAGGATGCAGGGAGGAATGATAAAGGCAGAAAAAAAGACAGCCTGACGGAAAAAAGAAAGAGCAACCACAAATAAAGATGTCATCAGCTACATGAAGACACGGACTAGGCTAGCTAACAAGCTTAGGACTAGAGTCACCAACTCACCTGGTTTGCCCTTACTGCCCCGGTTACACCTCAGTTACCCCTGAAAGTCCCACATCCTGTGAAAGCATTCAGTCAAAGGTAAATCAGGAGTACTGGTCAACAAGGACATACATTGACTGATGCTTACTTAGCCCCAGTGTACCGCTGCTGCTTCTACCCACCTGCTCTGGCTCTGCCTTGCCATATGCAAGAGATAACACCAGACATTGGCTACCCAGGGTCTTTGATTGAACTGAGATATGCAGGTGGGATAGGCTGCTACAAAAGACAGATATGCCTGTGGGAGTCTTGAATCAGGCTTCTGTGGGGAAACAGACCTGGACTCAGGCCATCTACTAAATTTGTCCTTGTGAACATATCAGCATCATGTCCCCTCACCTCAGAGATACTCCCAATCCACCTACAATCTAAGGACAAAGACTGGGGAGAGAACACTACTCTGACCTCACCCAGCCCAGCAGACCTTGATCACATGATGGATGCAATGATCATTGAAGCAAGACCGATGCCACTGGTGTGACCCCCTTCCTTTCATTTAAAAGTGTTTCTGTGAGTTATTCTAAAATAGGAAACCACTAATCATTTATTTTGTAATGATTCCTGTAACATTTAGGAAACCGCTTCCTCATTTATGATTCCCCCAGTGACTATGGAAAACAATGTAAACACCAACAAGGAAAGTCCTGCCCATTGGTCTAAACTTCTGGGGTCCAGCGCATAAAAGCCTCAGATCTGGAGGAGGCACCAGAATCTGAGAACCTCACCTCTGAACAGGACCTGCCCACCCTCCACCCCACACACCATGACCCACTCGTGCTGCTCCCCTTGCTGCCAGCCTACGTGCTGCCGGACCACCTGCTGCCGGACCACCTGCTGCCAGCCCACATGCTGTGGGTCGAGCAGCTGCGGGTCCAGCTGCTGCCAGCCTTGCTGCCGCCCAACTTGCTGTCAGACCACCTGCTGCAGGACCACCTGCTGTCAGCCCAGTTGCTGTGGGTCCAGCAGCTGTGGACAAAACTGCTGTGGGTCGAGCGGCTGTGGGTCCAGCTGCTGCCAGCCTTGCTGCCGCCCAACTTGCTGTCAGACCACCTGCTGCAGGACCACCTGCTGTCAGCCCAGCTGCTGTGTGTCCAGCTGCTGCCAGCCCAGTTGCTGTGGGTCCAGCGGCTGTGGGTCTAGTGGCTGTGGCTCCAGCTGCTGCCAGCCAGTTTTCTGTACACCCGTGTACTGCACGAGAACCTGCTACCACCCCACCTGCTGCTGCCTGCCTGGGTGCCTGGCCCAGGGCTGTGGATCCAGCTGCTGCCAGCCTTCCTGCTGCTGATT